CAACTGAAGACTTCTTAAAGAGTACGTAATAAAAAAATGTTAAATTCAGTTTATTTAATTAACGCTGAAGTCACAACAAATGTCGTCTCAGGAAGAAAAAACAATCAGTCTAAGGAATCCAGCAGATTGTATTGAATCACTTCATCAGTCTTCCATCCTGAGCAGCAAAGTGATGACAGTGGGAAGGAAAAACTCCCTTTTAACAGTTTTGCACATTTATTGCACTCAAAGCAATCTAGTGCAATGTTTTTTTTATGTAGTTACAAGGTTTAGAGACAGTTGTGACCATCAAAACAAGCATTTTTCTAAACATTTGCCCAAATGCTTCTAAGTACTTCCTTGTTTGAGTTTGAATTGGACATAAAATTTATGAAGGATAACAGTGTGGAATAGTGACGTTCTTCACGACTAATTTCCTTTCTGATTCTGAAAACTCAAAACTCAAGCAGGTATCCCATACTAATACTTTGTACAAATGTGAATTTTTATATCACAGCTTAATAAAAAAATACAAGACATCAGAGTAATGTTTTTTATTTTAAACTCATAAGAATATTGATGTAGCGTCCTCATTTGCAAAATAGCCAAGCTAATACAAAAGATCCCAAACAGAGCAAAATATGTAAAAAAAGAAAATGTATTTTAAACTCTAAAAATTGTAATAAATTAATAGATCATTAAATAAAACAATTGTTTAATTATTAAGAAATATTATATTTGATATTAAATTATAAAAAAAATCCTTGAATCTCAATTTATATTACATGACCATGCTAACATGAAAATACTGTATCTACAGGCTGAGCGCACGCTGCTGCTCTTTTGCATTCCCTGGGCAGAAGAAAAAGTAGTTCCCTCCAAGTGCTTATGATTTAGACAAGATTTCAGTAGTTTAGTTACTTTCCACTGAGTTCCTGTTCATGATATACATTACATGAAGAGAGTGAACATCAAAGTATTGATATTTTAATGTTAGTATCGATACAAGAGCGTAAAGTTCTAGTATTGGTTTTATCTATTGGTTTTATTATATTTCAGTATTGAACCTCACATAGTGGAGAAATGTTTCTTGTGATGAGTAAATCTCCACATGATTTGTTAAAGTATGTTTTAAAATGTGGTGTGATTTTTATGTAAATCACATAATTTTAATTACATTTTTTTCAACAAATGAAGTGAAGAGTAACCAAAGTGCTACTTGTGGAAGCCAGAGCCATTTTTAGCAAAATTTTCCAGATGTTTCCTGTTGCTAATTATGAGATTTGCCTGATTATTTTTTTTCTCTTTTTTTTCCCAGATTCTTGTTAGTTTTAAGTCATAGCAAACAACAACTCTTCCCAAGGTCCAGATAGAAAATTATTAAATAACAAACATTTATCCAACTAATCAAGATAAAATTATACATATTTTAATAATAGAAAGGACTAGGCTTAAATATTATGTGCAAACATTAAAAGTAATAGGTAAAGTGGGATGAAATCATATTTAAATGCTCAAAAAAACCGCAGTAAACATGAACAAAATGTTTTAAAAACTTTGTAACCGACATGTTTTAATTTGCCATTGCCTCATTTTTAAATGCTAATTGTTTTATTAGACTGATGACAAAAACAAATAGAATTAGTTCATTTTATTCAATTAGAGCCTTAAAAATACAACTGATGGCAAAAATGAGGAGGAACTAAAGTTATTTGTAAAACATTTGATTGATCAGTTATCATATTTCATCTTTTTCATTCTTTTTCTATTATTACTTTGCTTGTTTACAGTTATTCTTTAAGATTTCTTTTTATCTGAGCTCCTCGTGTCAGTTTGCTCTCCTGGTTTCAGTCCTCCAAAACGGAGACAGAAGTTTCTGAGTTTGGGTGTCCTGTGTGAAGTTTGTATGTTTTCCTCATGTATTTCYCTCCCACAGAACAGGAAAACAAATGTATTTGAGGTTAATGAGAGATTCTAAATTCCCTTCAGTTGTAAATGTGGCTGATATGTTCTGTTTGTGGTGCTTTTATCTCTGTCTGTAAATGTTACCAGATAATTTGGTGTCAAATGAGTGGCCCTGCAATTACTTACATGAAATTACCTCATTGCTGAGAGAGAGAGAGAGAGAGAGAGAGAGAGAGAGAGAGAGAGAGAGAGAGA